TTTCCTTGAAAGTAGTTATTGCTGTCCCAACACTCGCACTTTCAACGGAGCTCTCACTTTCACTTGACACATTTTGGGCAGCCCTGTGACCCCCCGTCACTGTCACTGTCACAGATAATGGCCTTGCTATCAGAAGACGAAGCAGTTGGCAAATCTGATAGCTCATCGGAGAACATATCTAATATTTCCTGTCCTCCGAGAGATCGCAACTGCTTTCGTCTCTGAGCCATGTTGAACTGGTAGCTGCGTGGTTGATACGTGCAAGCTTGGATTAGAACAAAGCCAATTTTGTTTAGGTTGTGACAGGAAATGACTCTGGTCGAGTTACAAGATAAGGCAGCAATCATTCCTGAGGTCATCTACGCAGTAGTTATGATTCAACGAAGCCACACAGCGATATATAGCGTTTTGCAACATAACGAGACCGTAGAGGGCCATATGGCCTGCCCGGTCCGCAACGCTTGGAAACGTAGAGGGCCATATGGCCCCTCCGGTCCGCAATGTGTTAAGATATCTGTTAGGAACAAATTATTTATGTAGCATATGTTTGCACTAAAGGAAAACAATGCTGCTACTATTTTTGAGAGCGAAACACGAGCTTTTACAGAACTGTATGGATATCAATCAGTTCTCCTTGTGTATGAGGGTTGTACTGCAGGCACCAGGGTCTTTTAGTAATAATCAAGTGGATGTGACACATTTGCATGCATTTTCCAAATGTTTGATACAGAATTCAGAAAGTATTCATTGTCACTTGTAAGCCTTATATTATACAAACTCCACTTCCTGTTCCATTTTACTAAAATTCTTGGTCATAACAGCATGAAAAATATTTCTATCAAGCTCATTTGACAAAAATATGGCTTAGTTGTTCCAAAATATTTGTCTGTCACTGCCTTCACTCTTACACTTTCTTTTCTGTAAGAAAAAGCTTTATATCTTAGAAGTGGGAGTTCTACAGTTGTGTATATTATTTAATTTTTACATTATTTGCTCTAGGTGTTTAATTTGGATTAAAAACTGATTTAAAGA